GGGCGGGTAGCAATCTCTGCCACACGTTACTGCGATGGACTTCAGTTCTTCCATCCTACCACACAACCAGTACTTCTTTTGCTTACGAGAGTGAACAAAAAAAGTCACTTCTCTCCCCAGAGGACTTTGGGACAATTTTAGGAGCATTCTCACAGCATGGAGCCAGTGCAGCACCCTCCCCACTTGGAGACCAGGAGTGCCCTGGAGAAAGCAGCCAGTGGGGACCCTGTTACCCGAGCCGCTAGCGGGGTCAGGTGTTTCCATGGAAAGAGGAAATAGTGATACTCAACAAGCGTGGGAGATAAGCCCAGAAGCCAGGAGCCCTGTCTTTCCCCAGAGGTGAGAGAAACAATGTATTCAATGTCACCCAGAGAACCAAATGTACCAAGAGGCATTACAAAGAGCCCTGGTCCATCCCAGTGGGTGAGGGCTGCCATACAAACTGGATAATGTCAGGGGAGCCAGGAGAGGCAGTGTGGATGTGTGAGTTTGGGAGCAGAGGCTGAGGAGGGATGAGCTGAGGCTGGAGCAGGAGGCGAGACTGAGCTGTGGGACTCATGCACTGGGACAAGGAAAAGAGGGCTCCCAGGCGCATAGGGAAAAGCACGAGGGTCCTGGAGTCCGCAAGAGCCGAGTCCACAGCCCAGCTGTACGTGTGACCACGAGGAAGTCACTTCCCCTCTCCAGGGCCTCAGTTTTCCCATCCACAAACCGCTCTCTGGCTTGGAGCACGTGGAAAGAATTAAATGACGGGCTGAAGATCAGCACAGTGGTTCTTATCACTAACAGTTACAAATCATAGCATTTCACGTGAAGACTGCCACTCAGCCCTCCCCAGGCGTCAGTGTCTTGTTACCTGGGTGGAGGATTGGAGAAGGCGGGATGGTAAGCACCTTCCTGGGGAGGCAATCCCCAGGGAGACAAGGGGTGACCCCCATAGTTAAGGGATTTTCCACTCTCCTTACGGTTGAGCCTTCTCACCCCTACCAGGTAGGCCCAGAGCAAGATGGCCTGAGGGCCAGCAGAGGCCACTTCACGTCAAGATGTGGGAGGACATTTAGGATTCCTTTCTCATGTTTCAACGTGCTGGGTCTAAAGGAGTTTTGTCCCCAAGGCACTGTTCATTAAGGAGTCACTTTCCTTATACTCAGGACTCCAGGGATGTCAACCTATAATTTAGAATTGTCCCAGTGTCCACTGGACATGCAGCCCTGGACACGCCTCAGCCCTGGAAACGTCCTTCCCTTCCGCCCAGGGGGTTTTGAGCAGCCAATGAAAGCTCTCTGAATGGTTAAAGCGTCAGAAAGTGCTCAGGCCCATGAAACAGACATGTAAAAAGCACATTAGTTCTTACTCATTTGACTCCTGAATGGGCCCAAAAAACAAAATAAAAGCTACCATTTATTGACGACCTACTAAGGTCCATACTTTCCACGCATTGTCTCCTCACATCCTTACAACCATCCCACAGGGGTGCAAAGCAACCATCCTCATCCATTTTTGCAGAGACTAACCTGAGACTCAGAGAGGTAGGAGGCTCGTCCAGGGCCACAGAGCCCGGCAACAGCAGAGCTGGGATCCGCACCTTGAGCTGTATAACCCAAGCCTAGTGTCAGAAAAAGTGAGGCCCTTTGGCAGAGGGCCTTTTAAAGGCTCAGAAGCGGGGCTGGGAAGGTGTGCGTGGGGCTGGCATCCTCTGGGTGGGCCTCCTGCAGATCCCCAGAAGCCTTCATTCTACAGAAAACCCGCTCACGTCCAGCACCAGCCGCTGGCACAGGGCACCAGCAGTTGAAATCCGGATCCCTCTTTGCTTCTCTGCCACGGTGAGACCAAAGTTTATTTTCATTCCCCCATCCCCACGTTAAAGAAAGCAGAACTTGGGCCCCACATTCCTTTCTAAATAAGGGATTGGAGGACTGTTCGATCTAATTAAGATGATTTGGCAGTATTGAAACAAGCATTACACACACCCCATAGGCAGACCTGTCGGGTCATCTCCAGCCATGAGCTCTGAGGCCAAGCAGGTGCCACAGTGGCTCTGCCCACACCGCGGCCCCCTCGCAGGGTGTGTGGACAGTCAGCGTGTCCTTCCTGGGCTGCTCACGCAGATGCGGTCAGTGAGTCGCCGGGGCCCCTCTCCTCCTTCCTGTGGATAGCCTTTTGGGATTTCCACTGCTCCCTGGCTCCCTCCATACTCAGACAGGAAGGCCGTTGTAACGTGTGAGCAGCTACGATCTGGCTGCAGAGATGGGATGGGGAGGGGAGGCCGCTAGTAATGGTGGTGATAAAGCTGTGACTGCCCCTCTGGCCTGCATCCTCATGGTATCCCCATGACAACCGGCCAGTTGAGAAAGGTGGTCTTCTAAGACCTGCCTTCTCAAAGTGTGGTCTACGGACCAGCATCGTCGGCCTCACCTGGGAGTGTGTTAGAAATGCAGGCTCGATGTTCACATGTGCACAGTAACATTTGTGAAACTCTGCTCCAAGATGCTGAAAACCCGGGGGCCTCTCCCACCTCCCACCCCAAATCCAGATAGCTTAGCTTTCAGGGCTGAGTGCCCGGCCAAGTAAATAAATAAAGAGTTCTGCAGGAAGATAAGTGAGAAACATGACATGCCGTGTTCCTCTCCAGAGTGAGAAACACATCAGCACCTTAGAGGCCGTGACGAGTCCTGCATTAAAGACCCTCACTCACTTTTTTTAACTGAATGCCTCCCAAACTTATGTGACCACAAAATATTCTTTCCATAGAACACCCAAAGGTGGAATATATTTGGGGGCCAATGCCCTTACTTGTAAGAGAGGCAACCACAATTTCTTACACGATCTTTAGGAAAAGGCAGCTGTGGTGTCCACGTGACATTTCATTTTCATAACCAGTTCGAAGACCTCAGGATGCATAAATCAGGAACCTATCTCAAAGGTGACAGGGAAGCTAACATCAACTACCTTTAACTACGGCCACACCCTTATCCCTTCAGGATTCCAACCTGGATTCCCACGGTCCCTCAAACTCAACATGCCCACCCAACGCCATCCCAGAGGGATGCTCTCCGCTAACAGCCCCACTCTTCTCCTGGCCTCCAGAGCCTCTCTCATCCCCTCCCTCGTTACCCCCACTCCCCCGCGCCCCCCGCTGCCTAAGCCCTCCACCTAACCGGTTGCCAAGATCCTCATATTTTATCTCTGTTATGTCTTCCAACTCTTCACGCCCTGCTCCTTCCCACTGTGACTAACCTGGCCTCTTGCCCCTAAGTGCTCCCTGCCCTGATTTCTCCATAGTTCATCCTACTCACTGCAGCGGGAGGAATTTCTCCACACACAGATGTGTTTCCGTCATTCGCCAGTTCAGACAACATCGCCAGCCGCATCATTTTGGAGGGCATTTATTCAGCACTTGCTTTGTTCTAATTTTAATGTTATTATGCTCATTTTGAAGATAGGGAAATTGAAGCACAGAGAATAAGTGACTTGCCTAACGCCTTACGTTTAGTAAACGGTGGCAGGAGGACCCGAGGTTGTGCAATATGGCATCAGAAGCTGAGTGCTTCACCCTTGGCCTTCCACCAGCCCTGCTGGCACCTTCCGTCTGAGCCACGCCAGGCCCACCGCTGTGGGGGAGGATGGCACCATGACGCATCTCCACCCATCAACATCATCACGGAAGCTTTGCTCAGACTCACTTCCTCCAGCCAACCACTGCCCCCAGAGCCCTCATCAGGGGAGTCCTTTATCCCCCCCAGGAGATGGCCAACTTTTTGGGGCTGAGGGCCAGGCCTTGCCTGTTTGTGTCTGCCTTTGCTGGGCCCACCCGGGGCAGACGCCCCACTGTCCCCGACAGTCCATTCTTCACCCTGCCTTAAAAGATCTAGAGAAAGCTTTAAAACTTATTATGTAAATTTTCTAACAGGCACCACAAATCTTTCTAATAAACAAAAGCAGAGAGAATGGTTTGATGAAGCCCCACGTATCCATCACCCATCTTCAACAGGTATCAACCTTTTGTCAATCTTGTTCCACCTGTTTATCTCCTTTATTTTTGCTGAGGATTGGTAAAAATCTCAAACTTTCTGTCATATCACCCATAATTTCTATAGGATATATCTCTACCAGATAAGAACTTCAAAAACCCGTAATTATAATATCATTATCACTGACAAAATTAACACTATCATAAACAAGCTGTGGGCAAACTGTGGACCGTAGGCCACCTCTGGCCCTCCGTCTGTTTTTGTCAATAAAGTTTTATTGGAACATGGTCACACCCATTTGCTCGCCTATGCCTGTGACGGTTTCAAGCTGCAACACCAGAGTCCCGCAGTCGTGACAGAGATGAGGCAGTCCACGAAGCCTGAAATATTTACTCTCTTGCCCTTACAGAAAGTTTGCTGACCCCTGATACATAATATCCAGTCCTCTTTCAAATTTCCGGGTGGAAGAGAGAACTTAAACACAGATCTGATCACATCTCTCAGCCGCACGATTTTCATGGGCCTTTTTCAGTCCGTGGGGGAAGCTCCGGCACCTGGCGGAGCTTTCCAGGACCGGTCCACTGCATCAGCCTGACCTTACTCACCCTTCAACCCCAGGCTCTCTCTGTTCCAGCCTGTCAGTCCGCTTTCAAGTCCTCAACAACCTGTTCTCAGGGCCTTTGAACAAGGTGTTCCCCTGGCGCGGAGGTGTTCTACCCCACACCCGCTATCTCTGCTCGGTTAACCCAAGTATTCCCTCAATGCTCAGTCAAAGCCCCCTCCTCCCAGGAGTCCTCCCTGAGCCCCCAGAACCCTCTGTGGTGGCTCTCACAATGCGTTATTCTTTTGTCTCAGAGCGTTATCACACTCGTACCCCTGCCTTTCACTGTCAGCTGTCTGACCACTGTCCATCTCCCCAGGAAATGCTAAGTCTCAGAGGGTGGCCAGTTTCTTCTTTCTCATCTCTGAATCCCTGGCACCTAGTATGGTGCCCAACACATAGTAGGAGCTCAATAAAGACTGGTCAAATAGATTAATCAATTAGTTTTATTTGTTGAAATGCAAAGTCCCAGCGTAAGGACGCAGAATAGTTGAGCAGGCCGAGACGGTGTTGCCCATCCTCTCCATCAAGCATAAGGAGAGAAGCGGGGACACAAAGATTTTAAGGGGCCTTATATATGCTAGGTACTTGACAGTTGTCATTGCATATAATTTTCACCACAATCTTACAAGACAGAAGTTACCCCCATTTTACAGATGAGAAATTGAGGCTCAGAGAGGTGAAGAAATATGTCCACCCAACCCCCAGTCTTCACTCTTCCAAGCTGCCAGCCTTCAGGGCGAGGTTGCTCCAGATATCTCCTCCAGTTTACCGAGCCCTAGATTCAGAATCCTGGCTGCTTTGGCTCCATCCACTTATCAAATCAGCAGTTGCCGTGTCTCCCACGCACTCAGAGCCAGTGCAGTGGCCCCCTGACACTCTTCCAGCTTGTCTTTCTGGGGAGCCCCAGCTTGCTTCTTCCACAAAGATGACGAAGTCTCTCTTAGAAAGTGACCCAAGGCCTTCCCACAAGCAGCTGTCCACATTCTCACCACAATAAGGCCACGTGGTCACTACGTCCTGGCGTGGGCACAGGAAGCAATCAGTGGGTGAGCATCAACCTTGCAAAATAAGATGTCAGTGAACCAGTGAGTTTCCGGGCCCTGAGGAGAAAAGCTTACAGAAAAGACAGGGTGTTATCTTGTTTAACCTCATAATATCCTGTGAGGTAACTATCATGACCAGCTCCTTTTTACAGTGAGGAAACTGAGACTCAGAGAGGCAGGGACCCTTTGCCAAAGTCTCACAGCAAATAAATGATAGAGCAAAAATTTCATCCTAAGTCAGTTGTTTCACTGGATTTTTTAAAAAATGTTTTAACTACAAAAGTAATATAAATGTGTAAAAAAATGTAAACAAGACTAAAGAGCATAATGGCCAAACATCCTCCTTCCACTTCTGAAATCACTGAAAATAGTATATTTTTTCAGGCGTTTATTTTTAGGTAGCTTTTCTTTTCTTTTCTTCTTTTTTGGTGAGGAAGATTGGCCCTGAGCTAACATCTGTTGCCAATCTTCCTCCTTTTTTTTTCTCCCCAAATCCCAGTTCATAGTTGTATATCCTAGTTGTAGGTCATTCTAGTTCTTCTATGTGGGATGCTGCCTCAGCATGGCCTGATAAGCAGTGTGTAGGTCTTTACCCAGGATCTGAACCCACAAAACCTGGGCCACCGAAGCAGAGCACTCAAATTTAACTAGTCTGCCACAGGGCCAAACCCCTCAGGCATTTTTTAATGCACCTACAACTGTATATATACATGCATGTATATGCGGATACATACTGTATACACACGTCCACCCCCCCCCCCCACTCATACACATATGGAGCTGTACAAATATAGGAATATTCTCTGCACGTGCTTCTGACTGTTTGCTCTATGCATTCAACAAGCAATCGTCGGCATCCTTCAAGGCTGATCAGGGCCAGGACTGGGGTGAGGTGAGAGAGGTGCCAGTCCTTTGACAGGGCATGAACGCCTCCTTCAATTTTCTCCCTCAGCCTCTCATTTTGCTCTCCCCAGTCCCGGCCTTGCTTTGGATGCAGCATCTTCTTCAGTCTTCAGAGGAAGTGCATGTTGCAGGCGGTGCTCTTGTCATCATCATCTCCATTTCACAGACGGGAAGTCTGAGGGCAGGCAGGCAAAGTGATTTGCCCCAGTGTTGTCCAGGCGGAAGCCCAGGCTGTCCGGCGCAAAGCCGTGCTCCAGACCACGGGCTCTGCGGGATCCGCCTAAGGTCCCAGCACAGCCCAAGGGAAGCCAGGACCATGTGGCAGGCTGCTCTGCCATCCACCGTGGAGTGCTGGCCCATGCATGGGGCAGAACGCACGGCGGTGGGGGGGAGTGGGGGGGGCAGGGCTCTCGGAGGAGGTGGCATTTGAGATGAGATGTGAAGGTCGCCTAGGATTTCAACAGCGGAGGGCATGCCCGGAGGAGGAGGGAGCAGGGAGCACAGAGGCCTGGAGCCGGGAAAGGGCAGGGGCTGTTCCAGGACAGCGGGTCGGGTTTGGCTAGAGCGCAGTCACGACACGGACACGGACGCAGAAGGGAGTGGGGCGGCACGGCTGTGGGGCACGCCAGCACAGGGATGCCCTGGGTGGGGTGAGAGGGCTTCACCCTGCTCCGCCCGGGGGCTGGGCAGCTTCCATGGGGCTGGAGTGGGCAGTGAGCGCCGCCATGCCCAGCAGCTGCCCCGTCCTTGTGCCTCGGGCTGGGGTGGGCATTGCCGCGTCTCTTTGGAGAGATAGAAGGAGCACTGGTCCCTCAGGCCACTTGCATCTTCCTCTGTTGTATTTTGGAATGAAAGTGTTCAGCTCTAAGGCATGACCCGGAAAGTTCTAGTGAGCCACAGGGCACTGGCTGAGTCCCAGGGGGACACATGGGAAGTGGTACAGGAGGGGCTGTTTCTGGACTCCGGGGAAGTGAAGGCAAGGAGGCAGGTGCGAAGACAGGGCTTGCCCCCTGCAGCCCATGATGGAAGATGGCCCTCTTGTGCCCTCCCTCTCCGTGCATAAACATCTTGATTTCCACCATCCTAAAAAGCATGGGAACTTCTCAGGGAGACTAGAATGCCCAGGTTTCAGGAACACAGGCTCTTTCTCCATGATTTGTGTCCAGATTGCCCTCTCTGTGGATCATCTGTGGAAAATCATTAATCCCTTAATGGGCCCCAGAGCCACCCAGCTTGTTTCCCTGCTCCTTCCCATCATGCACTTCGGCATGGCCTCCCGGAGCGTCTGTCTGGCCTCCCTTTTGAGATCTGTGTCCTAAGCCAGAGAAGCATGTCGGGGCCAGGGCAGAAGTGGCCAGGTCCACGGCTCAGCCCCACACAAGCAGCTTCCTCCCCTCTCCTCACCTCCGCCCACTCGGCTGCCTCATGGCCTCCCCAGGCCAGCCCCAGTTGGCTCCATCAGAGCAGGCCTGTCGCTGTGCCGCTTCACTGGCGCTATTGTGGCCTCACTGCCTGGTGTCTAGGAGGTCTTGGGAAGTTGCTGGCTGTAGCGAGTCTTTCTCTGGGGCCTCTGCCAAGTCTCCTGGCACCTGAGCCCTTGGTCACCTGACAAAGATCTCTCAGGCAACCCTCACGGGCACACACAGCCACTGAGTTTTTCCAGCAACTCCTCCAACTACCATGTCTTCCTAATTCTAGAAAAAAGCATGTAACATAAAATTTACCATTTTACCTATTTTAAAATAGACAATTGAGTAACGTCTAGTACCTTCACGGATGATACAGCCATTGTCACCACCCAGGTGCGAGAGTATTTTCGTCACCGTAAAAGGAAGCCCCATAGCCATTAAGCCCTCTCCCCTCAGCCCTGGGCAGCCACTCATCTGCTTCCTGTCTCTATGGATTTGCCTATCCTGGGTGTTTCATGGAAACACAATCATACAATATGTGACCTTTTGCATCTGGCTTCTTTCATTAAGCATAATGTTTTCATGGTTCTCGTATGTTGCAGCCTGTATCAGGCCCTCATTCTTTTTAATGGCCAAGTAATATTCCACCGTTTGGATAGACCACGGTTGTTCATCCACTCATCCACTGATGGACGTTTGGGTCGTCTGTCCCTTTCGGCTGTTGTGAATAGTGCTGCTATGAACATTCCTGTACAAGTTTTTGTTTGAACGCCTATTTTTAATTCTTTTGGGTATATCCCGAGGAGTAGGACTGCTGGATCATGTGATAATTCTATGTTTAACTTATTGAGAAACTGCCAGATCCAGTTACCGCTTTTTCCCCAAAATGCATGCAGCTTTACCATAAGACATTTAGAAAACGCATGCACAGAAAAGAAAAGCTTAAAATCCCCATAGTCCTGGCACTCAAAGATAAGCATCGTCAACTTAGCGGAGGGTCTCCCACCAGCATTTTTTAGAATGCCTAAATAGATACATATCCATACACTTTCCATTGGAAAGTTTTTACAAAAAGAGAAGTGAATGCCATTTAATGCCACCTTCTCGGTGACAAGCCTATTTACAATTGTGACCTCAGCACTCCCTTCTTCCCTGCCTCTACTTTATCCCTGAGCACCCATCATCATCCACCTTCTCTCTATTGTGCTTAGAGAGAAACCCTATGAAAGCTGGCATTGCCGACTATTCTGTTCACCACCCTGCACACAGTAGGGATGCAATAAGTATTTGTTGAATGAATTAATATTTGGGAGTGAATAAGAATGCGGAAGTCAATTTAAGATTTAAACTCTATTTTAAATGTATTTGCTGGAGTGCAGCAGAAATGGCTGTGCTTTCTCCCCGTTGGGGAGCAGCCACACTGGAGTCCCCGCAGCTTCATTCTTCATCAGAAGAATAAGGACATCATGCTTACCCCAGGCATGGATGTGGTTCTGGGAATTCTGCTGGCCAGGACCAATTCCTTGCCCACCCTTGAACCTTCTGAGTTCTATTTTGCAAGGAGGCCCCTCTCATTTCCATCTCAGGCTCCTGGAAGGATCTGGAAAAGACGGTCCTGAAACCTCCCTACAACTCAGAGCCCATTTGGTCCTAATCTCTGGATGGGTTTCTTCCGAACTCCAACCACAGCCAAGGGTCCCCAAGGGGCACCAGTCTCTGCCTCCACCTTCCTGTCCATGTCAGAGCAATTCTCCCAGCCACCTTGTCAGGAGCCCGCTGTGCTGCTGATATTAGTTACAGATGATGGCAATTAGAGGCCGAATCTGCTGGCTCCTGGTAGAATATTGAGACAGAGCTACAGCTATTTTAAGATTTTAAGCAGATTTATACTTGGTGCTTCAAAGAAGGCCAGCCAGCAAGGAAAATATGGTAACTGTTGCTTTAAATTATAGCTATCATTACTTCAAAAGGAGATTCAATCAGAAACCACTGAAGACTAAAACTATTTACATCTCCTGACACTTAAAAGCGAGCGAGCAGTTTTAGCCTGTCAGCCTTGGACGTGCTGGCTACAAAGAGAGCGGCACCTCACTGGCCTGCGAAGAAAAACATTTGCAAGGGGCAGGAACTGAGAAAGGATCTTGGGGGTCCTCCCGCTTAGAGCTTGCCTCCCATCTCTCTCCCACGGCCTGGGAGGGGTCCGGGGTCTGGGGCATGCGGCTCTGCCCAGGTCTGCAGGCAGCAGTCTCGGAACCCTTGGAACCCTGGCTGTCCCAAGGCAGGAGGATGCCCTTTTCTGTCTGGCCTGTGCCCTTCAGGTCCCTGCCCTGGGGAAATCCTGTCTCGTCCCATTAATACAAGTCCCTGAACAGGACTGTCCCTTGCTTCTTCCGGGCTCAACTGCCTCAGCGGGACAGGAGGGCTGCGTTCTGCCTCCAACAGCATCACAGCCGCAGACAGTGGTCAAAAGCATGGGCTTTGGGAACAGACTTCTCTGGGCTAGAGTTTGGGCTATTTAATTTCCAGGCTGTGTGACCTTGGACGAGCCACTTAACTCCTCTGAGACTCAGCTTCCTCATCTGTAAAATTCAGGTGAGGCTTGTATGAGATGGTGTACATAACGCACTTCATTAGTTATGATAATGCTAGATGCTGGAACAAATAACCCCCACAATTTCAGCAGCATAACACAATAAAACTCTAGTTCTCACTCACATAATTTAAGGTGGGTGTTTCCAGTCCTTGGGCAGCTTCTCCCTGTGATGATCTGGGGACACAGGACCCCTCTATTCTGTGTCCATGTCACCACCTAGAGTTTTAGCCTCTTCTGCTTCTAGCCTCAGGACAGAGAAGAGGCAGCATGCAGGCCCAAGGACACGAAGATTTCACAGGTTACCCGTCTCGGAAGATTGGTTAAAGTACCAGTCATCCTTGTTCTGTGTTTGGGCCACCTGCTCCTAAGAGCCTGCCTTTACCCCTAGTCTCAATGAGAGATCCTCTGGCCACGCTCCACCAGCGCTTGTGCTATCTGTGTCAGTCACATCCACTGCAAGGGAAATTCTGTGGGCAAAGCTGGGACGTCTGTTGTCCACAGCCATAGCCCAGAAGAACTTCACAGCTGGCACGCAAGAGGGGTTCAATGAATGGTGGTTGGGAGAATTTTACAGTAAAATCCAGGACCCTGCCCATTCCTACACAAGGCAGGTGTGGATTAGTGAATATAACTAAACAGGTGATTAGTAAATGTAAATTATATTTGGAAAATCTGGAAAAAGGATATATAGGCGTTCTCTATACACAGAGACAGGCCCACAGCCTGTCTTTGTAAATAAAGCTTTATTGGAACACAGACCCACCTGCACATAAGGGGGCCTGGGAAATGTAGTTCCTGGGTGGGTTACTGCCTCCCACGGGGAACTCCATGCTAGGCCAGGAAGAGCTCACATTGTTGGAGGACAGATAGCTGTCACCTGGCACAAGCACCTAGTATACTGTTATTCACTGGTATTAATATTACTTTAACTATTAGTGTTTTTTAATGCAATCTTCCAGTTGCACAAATGACATCCAGGGAGATCTGTAACCTACAAGGGTTTGCAGCTGGTAAGCAGCAGAAGTAGGATTGGAACCAAACTCTCCCGGCCTCTGACCCACCCTGGGAGCTAGAGGAAAGAATAAGTTCCTACTCTGGGCTATTCGCTTTAGATGGGTGGGGCCTTTGGAAGGTTCAACCCTCAGGTTTTAGGAGGCCAAGCTCTCAGGGCTGCTGACAATTTTGCAGGATGGAGGAAGGTGAGCTTTGCTTTCTTGCCTGGTTCTGGAACCAGAGCTTCCCAACCTGCACTGCTCATTTGGAGGCCCTAACCCACCATCATCACCTGCCCGTGTGCTCCAGACCCTTCTTCCAGCAAGGAAGAGTCACAGCAGGCCCCACAGTGGGGCCAGGCCTGTGTTCTCCAGGTGGGAGTTGGCATCTGCCCATCCCTGGCAGGAAGCTGTTAAAAAAGGCCTCTTCTCCCCGCCCTGACCCCCGGCTCACTCTGCCTTGAGCCTGAGGCGGGTGCGGCATGTTCCTGGTGCCGCAGGCTCACGCCAGCCCCTCCCTTGCCAGGCAGGCCTTGGATAGCTGAGCAGGCACGCACAGGCTGGGTGGCCCGAAGGACGGCAAGGGTAGGGCAGGTGGTAACACAAGAGTGAGCTAGATGCTCTGTGTCACCTGGGCAAGTCGCTTCCCTCTCCGGTCTTCCTCCTCCCCTCCTTTGCCATGAAGACGATGCCACGTGTTCCACCCCCCTTGTAGGGATGTAAATGGCAGGGGTTAAAAATCTACAGACATGACAATGTCTTGCATGGTGGACACATTGATTTTTCAACTCCCCATAATAAATTCCATCTTCTTTTAATAACAGCACCTTGATTTCCTTTGGGTGCATTACTTCTCCCCCACTGTGTGTCGTCTTGGTGGGACTGTCTATCAAGATGCCCCACCCTCCCCTGCCCAGTGAGTGTGAACATGTCCCCAGCTCCACCAATCAGACTGTTCCCTGGAACTTGAATCTTGAGTGGAGTCACAGAGGATGGGAGGGAAAAACAGAAGAACTGGAGCAGTGAGGGCAGCCTGCACCGCACCCCCCATGCACACACGCGCACGCACACACACACAGACGCCTCTGAATCCCACAGAACCTGAAACTCCTCTCTGAGGGTTTACCTTGTTTCTTCAACTAGACCTTTAGCTCCTTGAGAGCAGAAATAATATCTTAAAATTCTTCTGGATTTTTCTTTCCCTCAGCAGGGCCTGCCAAGCAGTGCTGCAGGAGGAGGACACCAGCTTCAGTGTCAGGAAGAGCCGGCTGGCCCTGCTGACGCCATCCACCGACGCTGTGCTGCCTTGGGCAAGCGCATGCAGCTCTCAGGGCTTGTTCCTTCGCCTCACTCCTTCTCGGAGCCGTTCTGAGGATCAAGTGGGAAAGCATAAATAAATGGTCTAATGCATTAAAAGGGGCTATTGCTATTATCACAATCGTTGACACTCAAGCCTGAAGGCAAATAAATGGTTTTTAGTTGCAAAATGGATTCTGTCCTTTTCTAGGAAGGTTTTAATGAGAACTCAAACCTCAGAGAACTATCTTTTAGGCCCTGCCACTCAATTCCCCTGACAACTTCTCAGCACCTACTGT